TTATTTTTAAATAGTTCCATGCCTTCTTTTTTTTTTGTCTAGATGGCATTTCTCAGCATCATGCAAGCTCTGTGTTCACAAAATGGGGTCCTCCAGGTGATCTTGAGAGAGTGTTGCGGGCGTTGCTACAAGTGGAATTGTAATGACTTCTTAATGGTTAATACATGTTCATGGTACAAAATTCTGAAAGTACAGAAGAGGGCACTCAGTGCAGAGTAAGCCTCATTCCCATCCTGCCCTCCACTGACAAGGCTGTTTTAAAAGAAACCCTGTAACCTTTCAGCAGGCACCTTCACTCGTCGGGGGCTCATTTGGTCATTAACACAGTATAACTTGGATCCGTATCTCCTTAGCAGACAAAACTTCAAAGACCTCATCTGGGGTGGGCTGAAGTGGCAGCTCTGAGTGGCGACAGCTCCTAAGAGATATACTTCTCTTTCCACCTGGTTCCCATCTTCACACACACCTCCCCCCCGCCACCCACCCTGCCCCACGGCCTCCAAGGCCAGGTCAAGTGTAGTCCTCTCTGGACACTTTGCCCCTCAGATGTGTGCCCTGTGTTCTGTGCACCCTATCGGTCTCTGGCATCTTCCATACGGTCCTGTGGACAAAGCCCAGCTCCCTGTTCGGTAGGGTGCTCCTTTGGGCCTGGCATTGGGGTGGGGGTGGGGATTTCCTGCTGCCGTATTTTACTCGGGCTTGCTCAATAAACAGCCACATGTTCATTCATTCACCTCCTTGACCCCTAATGTGTATCAGGTAGAGTGGCAGGTGCCAAGGCTGTAATAGTAAGAAAGTAACCTGGAGGGGAAGGCAAACCCACAAACCATGCCAGTGGTTAAATCTGATTGTATGAAGTACAACAAACACGCACAGACTGCGCCCAGGGCCCGTGCCAGGGAGCTGAGCGGGCGGAGAGCTTCTCTGAGAAGCGCGCCCATAGTGCATAGAACCGAAAGCGCTGTGTCATCTGACGCCATCATCTCACGTATCGCTGAGGAAGAAAACAGTGCCGATTAAATTAGGACACGATGGGTTTTCACTTAGAATTTTCACTTCTACTCATTAGAGAGACTCTTAGGCTTGTTTAGACATGGGTTTTCTGTGCGTCACTTTTGTACATACACCGAAAGGAACGTATGAACACAGTAAGTTGGTGGAGGTCTTCCTGACGTCACCTGTTCGCTTTCAGACTCTGGCTCTCCGGGATCGCTTTGCGGCTCGGCTCGCTCGGCTCGGCGGTACCCCTTTATGACCGCGCCGCCCCGCGCGCCGGCCTCCTCGCGGGTGGGGACGCAGGGTTACTGTCCGGGGGCTCAGTGCCACCACCCATACCCATCTGCATTCGGGTGCTGCCACTTTCTTGATCCTGCCAGAAGGTGTCAGTGAAAGGCGTTCAGACAAGTCCTATTCCTTCTTCCAGCGGTTCTGAAATGGTTTGTTAATTGAACGCCCAGGGGTTTCGGCTCCGTCGCACCACCGGAGGAACGGCCCAGTGTGTTCATGTGCAGGCCATGACAACGATGGCGAGGCAACAGCAATTGTAAGATGCCCCCCCTCAGCTTCAGAGATGAAAACTATATGTCTTAGAATCGATGGAAATCACTGACGAGAAGTCTAGGAGCAAGTGGGTACTGTCTTTATTCCAGCGACTTAGTGATGTCAGGGCTCCGAGTAGAAGTCTCTGTGAGTCTCCTAGTCACAAGGTGGCAGTTCTCCCCACTCAAAGGCAGAAGGCAGGTAGCAGGGTCAGGCCTTCGTCCTGCACATCGGGAAGAGAAAACGCCTTCCCCAGGAATCCCTGCGCAGATTCTCCTCGCCTCCCTTTGGCCAGGACCACATCCCATGGCCATTCGGAGCTACAAGGGAGGTTGGGAAACCTGTTTTTTCTCATCATTTCAAGAATGGTGTTGGGGATGACTTTTGGATGGTCAATTAACAGTCTATCCCACTGTCATCAAATACATTTGGGGTGCACTGAGTTCACCCAAAATACTATAAGGCTTTTCAAAGCTTATAATATGGTCATATGGCTCATTGAATTCTGGGTAATATGGTGTTAAGCTTTGCCAAACTTGAGGAATCCAAATTTATTTTTCTAAAATAGAGAACTCAATTTTGCAAAATGCCAGTGAACAACTCTTGCTTGTTTCCAGAAGAACGAAGGGAAGGCTCTCTAGAGCAGGCTGACGTGGCCTGGTGGGACGGGTTGTGGAGATTGAATAGAAATGGGATTGTGAGTAGAGACAGGGCAGGGCCGAGAGGCTTACAGATGGGAGAGACAGATGGAGTTTAGCCACCTCAGCTGCTTTTGACGGGTACAGCTAATTTGTTTTCAAGAGCCTTGTAGGCCTGCCGCTGTGATTTCCTCTGAGACAGGAGCTAGCTTGATACCAAGTTATTATTATCTCCCTCTCTTTCCTAACCTCTGCCACTCCCAGTCTTCATGATGCCGGTGATATTGGAGCTAGGCTGGCCGGCTTTGCTGGAAGGGACGCGGGTGACGCCTGCCGCTGTCTCTCAGGCACCGTCACCGCGCTCCGCGTTGGCGAGCGCTGGCAGACACGTGGCGGAGTTGGCTCCTCCTCATTTATTTGGGTTTGGGATCATGAAGCTCCTCCTGGTCCTTTGGCCAGAAGTGATCTTTCTATTTTTTTTATTTCAACAGCCACTTATGTGTCTTAGGCGGCGGCAGCACTTACCATCGCAGGTGACATATTCTGAACACTTACTGTGCCTTGGGCTTTGTCGTGGGTTCTTTTATGGGCATAATCTCATTTAATCCTCCCCGCTGTGCTGCTTTGTGGACGCTGTTCTGCAGGTGAGAGTAGTGAGGCAGAGGTGGGTTTAAGTCACCCATTTAAGTCACCCCGTTGTTGGGGACAAGGCGAGTTTGAATCCAGGTGTGACTAATCTTCCCTCTGTGCAGCTTCTGGTCTGGCACCTCTGTGTTATTTGTTCATCTGTCTCTCTACATATGTGGGAAATCAAGCTGTGTTTTTGGTATTTCCTAACAACTGCCTAGCACAGCGTCTTGCCCTTGACAGGAAAGCTCTTGATAAGTAATTGTTGACCAGATAAAAGAATAAATGGGAGAGCGAATCATGAGTGGTTTTCCTGTATGTTAACCTCACACTGAATTACCCCATTATAATGATCAGAACATTTTTCTCTCTCTTTTCAGAATCCGTTTTTGTTCTTTAGTCATCTAACTTCTAAATTCTAGAGTGTTTCTGAGTAAAATAATCATGGTTCGGAGGGGATTGCACTGGGCAGCCGTCCAGCCCTCGTGTTCCTGGCAGAGGCCACCCAGCTGTTCACGTCTGGAAGGCGAACCTCAGGCCCCTTGTCCGCCTGGCTCTGGAGCAGGGCCCGAGGCAACCAGGGCGGTGTCTGTCACTTTTTCACACAATGTCCTCCCAAACCCCTTTGCCTAGATTTATCATTCTGACTGTGTATATTTGATGATTTAAACAGTTTTCTTCTTGTTATCAGTTTATTGGAGGCGCTGTCTTTCTATCTTTGGGAAGCAGAGAACTTATCTTTTCGTACTTTACTGCATCTGTTTTATTCCGATGTTTCTTCTGTACCCTCNGTTGTCTTTCTATCTTTGGGAAGCAGAGAACTTATCTTTTCGTACTTTACTGCATCTGTTTTATTCCGACGTTTCTTCTGTACCCGACTGCAAGCCCCTCATGTTTTCCCCTCCCCTCTAAGGAGCTCGGTCCACGTCTGCTCCTTTTTGCAGCGGCTCTCACTGAGGTCACACAGCAAACTGTTGTGCCTCGGTGGCCCGTTTTTATGACTGTTTTTTAAATTAAGTAAAATGAAGAAGCTCCCCAGCCCTGCTCAGACACTACTGTTGGCCATTCTCACCGATTTTTTTTGTGCTGATCTGTCGTTTCTCTTCTGTTTGTTGTGCCTTATTGTCCCAAGTCCTCCAGCCCTCTAGAGCCATTCTTTCCTCATTATGCAAATAAAATGTCCCTTTCCCACCCCCCACCATTCCCTGTACCTGTGGGAAGCCTGATGACCCCCAGCATTTCTGAAGATGCCCAGAGTTCGTTCATTTATTTGCCTGGTGGCTACTTGCCTATCACCTTTCATTCAAATCCAAACCCAATTCTGAACAACCCCAGTCTCCCACCAGCCTTCCCCTCACCCCTCACCCCAGGTCTCCTTCTCCCCCAGCTCAGGTCCCCTCTGCAGCCCCAAAGAAATAAAGCGCCGCCCGGGCCTGAGCCTCAGGATGGTCCTGTTCAGTCGGACACACTGATTCTCTCGTGCAGACAGTGAGGCCCTTCCCCCCGGAACTGTAAGGATTGTTCTTGTCCTGAACAAAAGAACCGTTTCCCCCTGAGATGAGCTCCCTGGCTCCCCTAGAATAGGAAGTGGTTGTGGCCAGCAGGGTTCTCCTAACATCATATTTCCATCCTGATTTATTCCCTTTGGGTATTTTATGAAGCTCTGATGCCACGGTGGGAGTAAACGTGCTCATAATCAGGGACGCGAGCAGATAGAAATTGCTGCTGTTGCTCATTTAGAGAAACTGTCTGTAATCATTTCCTTTGAAAAGAGTGAGGACACAGCACGTAGATTACTAGGTTTTGCTTTTCTGACCAGATCGTCGTGTACTGGGATCTGAGGAACATGTAGCTGTAAAAGGAGGTTTACGTCTGTGAAGCCGGAGGGGCAGCAGACGCCCTGCGAGCAGAGCTGCAGGCAGCGGCCCTGTCCTGGGCCCTGGGTCTGCCTGAGGCTCCAGCTCAGCTGAAGGGGAGGAAGGAGCCCGAGCCAGTGGAGCAGTCGCTGAGCCCCACAGGAGGCCCTGGGATATTCCCGACCTTGACCCTCAGTGTTTCTAGCACGTCTGTCTGGGTCTCGATTTCCCCTTTGCTGACCGGCGGTGCTTCCTGTGGGCCTCTGCCCTGCCTGCCCCCACCACTGCCCCTGGTCCGTGGTCGGGCCTCTGACGTGTGCCCCTCCTGTGTTGTACCCAGGGACAGGGTGCCTTATCGGAGAGGCTCCGGAGCTTCAGCATGCAGGACCTCACCACCATCAGGGGAGACGGAGCCCCTGCTCCCTCGGGCCCCCCACCCGCGGGGCCTGGGCGGGCCGGCGGTAAGCACGGCCAGCCCAAGATGTCCAGGAGTGCTTCCGAGAGCGCTGGCAGCTCAGGTATGTGTCACTCCCCTCCCCTCTGTTCACCTCCTGGGCCTCGCTCTCATTGAGGGGCCCAGTCCGCTGCGTGCCTGTAACCTGGCCCTGACACCAGGGACTTGCCACCAACACAGACGTTCATCAGACATCCCAGGCCAGCCATGGGGCAGAGCACCCCTCCAGCCAGGACAGGAAGCTGGCCTTCGAACTCTGACTAGGGGCACCGTTAGGTCACCTGCACCACAGGGTCCCCCCTCCTTCATCTGGCTGTCTGGGGATTGGGGTGGTTGGATCATAGTATCTGGACCAAACCTAGAGGCAACAGGCACAGCTGGACTGGGCCAAGGCAGCTCTCTGTTCTCTCTGATCCCTCCCTCCTAGGAGGGCCTACCTGCCTTGAGCACCTGAGTGGCCCCTCCCACCTACCCAGGACTTGGGGCTCTTGTGATTCCTTTTCCCTGCATGATTATTTCCTGTCCCCTCTTTCACTCTCCCTTCTCCTCCCAACCCTGTGCCCCTGTTCACCACTCACACCTCAGACCACGTGTGGGGTGTGGGGGGCGACAGTCCTGGGCGACAGCTTCGAGTCTAAGTCCTGGGGAAGCGAGGGCTTTTCGGAAACTGCACAGCTACCTCTGACGTCTGCCTCTGGTTGCCAGTCTCCTGGCAAGAGGTTGCCTGTGTTGGGACTGACCTGGGCAGCTGGCAGAATGCTGGGTCCACCTGCAGAGATTCTTGAGGCTGGGATGAGACCCAGGCGTGTGATGCGGTCAAGGTGCAGCTGCATTGAGACCCACTGACATCTTGTCCATAGTGGGTTTCAGGCTTGTGGAGGGTCGGGGTGTGGGTTTGGGGTGGGGAGCTGGGCCAGAATTCACGGTTTCCCGGGCCATTCCTTGGGTCAGTGCAGGGACCTCGACCCTCAGGAGCTGAGCACAGACACTGCCAGCAGAGGGTCCTGGTGAAGGGGGGCAGGAGACACCTCTGGATGGCCACCTCTGCCCTCAAGTTGTGTTACATGGAGCCTCAGGGTGGGAATGGGGCCAGTTTTTTGGAACCTGTGGCTGTGATGTGTGTCTGGTGGCTTCCCTGCCCTTAAATGTACAAACAGGGACATCAGGCCACCTGAATCCTGGCTGTGAAGTGAAGCCTGCAGGTGGCACGTTGGCCCCGAGGCCAGGGACCCCACCTGCCTTTGGGGGACCTCGGACATGGTTGGGAAAGAAGGAGCCCTGTGGCTGCCCTGAGAATGATGACTCATGTGCCCTCCAGGGAAGGTGGAACAGCCCAGAGCCAGCCTGGAGTCCATCAGTTTCCTCACCTCTCGGGACTAACCCTTTCCCCCAGCCCCAGGTTTGAAGATTGTGGTTCTTCTGTTGGGAAGATGTTTTAACCCTGGCAGGGCTGGGGAGGTGAGGGCTTGACCATGGCAGGGAGGTCCACTTAAGGGAGAGGTTATCTTCTGGGGAACCCATCGTAGGAGAACTTAGAGTGGGATCCCAAAGGGCTAGGCAGGAAGAGACCTCAGGGGTTATTTAGTCTAACACACTGATTTTACCAATGAAAAGACAAAGACTGAGGGAAGGGAATTGTCACGAGGGTCACCCACTGGTGGTGTTCTCCTGTGGCCTCCTGGCTCCTGGGCCAGTGTCCACTGTTTACTCACCTACTGACCATCCAGGTTTCCTGGAGCATCTACGGCTTCTGACCTACTGGGCACTATCCCAGGGGTAGGGAGTGAAATGGAATCGGGTATCGCCTCCACCCTTGAGCCTTGAGCAGCTCATTTGCTACTGAGCCTCAGACACAAGCTGTCATTTGGAAGAAAAAAGGGCCCCAACTCTGTGAGGCTCAGAGGGCAGAGCAAGAACCAAGGGGGTAAAGTTCCAAGGGGGAATCACGTATTGGCTGCATGATCCAGACAAGGTGTGTACTCTCTCTATACCTCAGGCTCCTTATCTGTCCACGAGGAATGACAGTTCCCGTCTGTGGGGTTATGAGGATTCAAATCATAATCCTTAGGATCATGCCTGGCACTCTGTAGTAGTAGCTGCTATTATTCTTGATGTTATTTAATTCACCTACGAAAGCACTTTATAATGTGAAAGTGCCCAGGAGAGAAACGGGCTGCCTGGTGAGGTAATGAGATCCCCGACACTGGAAGGGCCCAAACCAAAGCTGAATGATCATGTACCAAGGCTCTAGGGCAGGGTTCCTGATTTGGCCAAGGCGTGGACATAGGTGGCCCTCCAGTCCCTTTTCCCCTTAGATTCTATGTTGTCATTGTAGAGGTGAACCAAATAGAGGAAAAAGGCTCGGAGAGGTCTTGCATTGTGCCAAGGCCACACAGGCGTGTAGGCCTCCTGCCTAGACCTCACCGTGGTGGGTTATTCAGGGAAAGTGAGAAGGCTGGTGGGATCTAAAAGGCGATGCGGGGTGTCCCCTGGGCTTTGAACACCTCCCCAGACCAGCACCACGTAGAAAAGAGTTTGGGATGGTTTCTCTTGGTGTTGGCCCCGCCTNCCTCCCCAGACCAGCACCACGTAGAAAAGAGCTTGGGATGGTTTCTCTTGGTGTCGGCCCTGCCGCCCTCCATTGCAGTGACATCCTCTGACATGCCCTGGGGAGGCAGTGGGGCGTGCTCTGGTCGCAGGCCGAGCAGGTGGCGTTCAGAGAGCCAGAGAGCCCCTCAGAGAAAAAGATGGCCTGGGGCCTGAGCATGGGCCATCATAACCCCGGAGTTGAGGTGGGGGGTCTGGGAGGAAGTCTGGCAAAGAAGGCCGAGCCTCACAGGCTGGCATGCCTTCGCAGCCCCCACTGAGGGCCTGGGACACGGGCGTGGTCAGGCAGGAGGAAGGGCCCGAGTCTGGGCTTCCATCCCGGCTGGGCGGCACTGGACCTGTGCAGACAGCACATCAGCACAGCGAGGAGATGTCACAAGCAGTCGCCACATGTGTTCCCGCTGGGCCCAGTTGGAGCCTCAGAGCCTTTCTCAGAACCACAGCCCAGGAGGTCGCTACCAGGTGACCTTGGCACAGAGATGAGCCCAATCTTAAGCTTTCTCCTCTGAAAAAGGGGCGCAATAATCCCTCTTCAGCCTGCATCTTAGGGTTGTGAGGAGAGCAAACAAATAATTTGCAAACGCTGGGCAGGCAGCAGGAGTTAAAGGCGTCCCGGGAGGAGACAGGTAAGAGTGGTGGCTGCACGCCATGCAGCTGTGTGCGGCCGTCGGAAGCGACAGTTCCGGTGAACGTACTGACCGATCTTAAAAGCATGGTGCCTAGTGAACAAAGTGCAGAACAGAACGGAGTGAGGTAGGATGTAACAACCTCTGTAAAATAAAAATAAGTGCCCGATGTGCAAAATGACAAGATGGAGTTTGCAAGAACACATAGCTCCCCGTACAGAATGAACTGGGAGGTGTTTTGTCAGACACCATCTGTTGAAAGACGCTGGACCCCATGATGGGTGTAAAGGGAGCTGAAAGAATGGCCTTGCCTTCCGTGAACTCGGGGACACTCGGCATGTACTTAGTGAAGACCTGCTGTATACCAAGGCTTGGATGTACGTCAAAACCAACGCAGTGTGCAAAGCAGCAAATGAGGCCTTCGACCAGATGACCAGACACAAGCACTTTGGGGGGCGGGGTCAGAGGTCGGGCTGAGGTTTCATAAAGGGTTTCACTCTGCCCTGGAAGGAGGGGTATCTGGGCAGGGGTGGTTGGAGTTATTTCCCAGAGGAAATCCTGACCCCCCACCCCTGCCTTCCCTTGGGCTGCAGGATACAAGGACTAACCTCTGTGGCCAGGCAGGGACATTTTCTAGCACCCAAGAGGAATCTGAACCTGGAATGATCCCCTCCCCTGCCTTGGTGTCTCTACAGAGACCCACATTCCTGGGACCCCTATATTGAACCCACTGGGACCCCCATACTTCACTGGGGCCTCCCTGTTTGCCTGGGGCTGGCTCCTGTCAAGAGGGGGATATCACTGATGGTGCCCCCCATCCCCACAGTGTGTACCTGCTGCTCCACCTGCAGGACCAGGAAAGGTGAGTAAGCGGCCAGCCTCCGCAGTGCACTGCCGCTCGCCTCTGGAGGCCGTTCTAACCATGAGCTGGCACCTGACCCTGGCTCCCTTTCGGCTGCACGGTCTGGGGGGAGGGGTTAGGGGGTTAACTCCTTAAAATAGCAAACCTGTATTATAGTGTCTGCAGGCTAGGAATTTGGGAGTGGCTTAACCGGGTGGTTCTGGCTCTGGGTGTCAAGAGTTGTAGTCAGGATGTCAGCCAGGGCTGCCATCATCTGAAGGCTGGCCCGGCTGGAGGGTCCCCTTCCAGGATGGCTCTCCCGTGGCTGTTGGCTGGCGGCCTCGGTTCCTTAATACACAGGCCTCTCTAGGGCTGCTTGAGTGTCCTTACAACATGGCAGATGCCTGCACCCAGAGTGACTGGAGAGAGAGGGAGGGAGGGGGAGAGAGGAAGAGAGAGAGAGCGAGAATGAATGAATGAACGAATGAATTCGGGAAGTCATGGTGCCTGTTAGGACCTGGACTTGGAAGGTGCACATCACCACTTCTGTCCCGTTCTATTGGTCGGAAGTCTTTAGGTCCAGCCCACACTCAAGGGAGGGGAATCGATCTTCACTTCTTGAAGGGAGGAGTATCAAAGAATGTGGGGGGACAGTTTAAAACCACCACAGAGTCATGTTTTCTTTAGCTCTGGGCCAAGGGCACAGGAACTCACTCAGGGCCTCTGACGTGACAGAGCCCTGCAGACCCGGGGGGTTTGGCCCTGCCGCCACGGAGGGAGCCCTGGTCCTGCTTTGCCACTTACTAGCTGTGTAACCACGTGTGCACCACCTAACCACTCTGAGCCTGGTCCCCTCAGCTTCAAACAGAGATGAAGACCCCCCTCCCGCCTCCCTGTGCTGCAGGAGAATCGCTGTGAAAGGGCCTTTGGGAGGGGCATGGTGGTGACGGTGATGTTGGCAGCCCAGAGCAGCTGGGAAACCTCAGGGAG